AAATTTCGGATTTTGTTTTGTGTGTGAGATGGTTAAAGTGATTGAAATTACACCATCACATGATATCTATCTACAACATTGATATTAGAATCTAGGTACTTTGTCAATTGAGGAAGGAGTCTAACCTAACACCAAGTTTGTGTGCCAATACAAGCTTTCTTTTCAACTCTTTCGAAAGCTCAACCGCATCCTAAAGTAGCAACAGCATAGAGGTTCATGTTTTCTTTTTATCAACAAGAGAGGTTCATGTTTAGTTTAAAAACTACAAACAATAAAAGATGAATATACTTCACCTCGGTGTAAGTCTCTATATCCATCAACTCTCTCATGAGAATTACTGGTGTAACACCCGTCCCCGATCACTTAGTCTCGCACTCTAACTTGCTCAACAAGTAACAAACCTGCACACACTAAAAGAGAAACAAGAAGGGTGAGCAATTTTGGGATAAAATTACTCAGTGAGAAAGTTACCCGCAGAAACTCCAATACTCGAAAAACAATAAGCGATCAGACACACTAAACCATAAATAGATCATACATGACTCAAACTTCTTACTAGCAATTATCATATTCATACTTTAATATTTTTGCAATACAATTTTTTATTCATCCAATATCTCATACTTAAACCTTTCACATCTTTTACTTTTCTTTTCACATTCTTTACGTTTTTTTTATATATTCACTTACGGCGGAGCCAACCGCTTTCTCATGTTTTGGGCTTGTCTTCCCTGTCATTGGCCCTCTAAGGCCTAATGGATCTACAACAAGCTTACATACACGATCGTGCGTAGTCCAATAAACAAAGTTCTACAACAGATTTACATACGCGATCGTCTGCAGAACTATCATATTCTAACAATCTCAAACAATTCATTTTTAAATCTTTAATATTTTATATTTATCTAGCACCATAAAACTTTATCAAACAATTTTCACGCATCAAGCAATCATTACTAATTACCACAAAGCAACCAGCAAACATCAAGCAATTTAAAACTAGACTTATCATGTAAGACCATCAACCATCAAATATTTGATTCCTAGACTTAGCATGAAAGAACACATATTGCTAACTAGTACCAAAGTAACATAGATCCCACCCTCATGGTGAGTGCCTCACCTTAGTCTTATTGGATGGATTGACACGGAAGAATGAATATGGAAGGATGAGCTACCACGAATCTGCGTTGAGGAAACAATGTTTAACGTTCCATTATTAAACTTCCTAAAATGTTTATTCGGTTCGGGAGATTTATACCAGTTAGACGAAAACGGCGACAACTTCTTACGCATACCTCATATTAAATCAAATTCAGTGTCTCTGGAAAGCTAAGACTCGGGGCTTTCCAATAATATCGAGATCGTCTTTTGGATCCTAACAGATCGATGGTAAATCAGCTCGCAAGCGCAGTGATCGAATCTGAAAATAGTAATTCCAGTTTCAGAAACAGTGATTTTCCTCTAAATTGAAATACGTATTGCGAGCACAGCATACCTCGTAATTCAAAACCGAAAGCTGCTACAGAAACTAGAGTCCTTGATCTTCCAAAAGGAATCTTAAACGTGATCTACTTCTCTGTGGTTCGCCGAGAAATCGCCTTGCAAATCTACTCCATTAAACTGAAAGGACATATCTGAGACTTAAGTATTTCGGGATTCTGATACAAAGGATTTTCGACAACTTTAAAGCGATTTCCGGATTGGCCTTCCCTCGGATTTAAGATCGGAGAATATTTCCAGAAAGTAGAGAACGAAATCTGTACAAAGACATATAGATCACACCTTGGTTCCCTTCGAGCGCTACAGAATCTACACCAGAAAACCCCATGTCATAATTCTTTCTCCCTTTCTCTTCTTCCTTGTTTATGTCTCTTACACTACCCAAAGATCCCTTTCTTTCTTTCCCCCTTCCCTCACGTTTCTCCTCTCACGACCATTCAATCCTTTCTTTCCCCCTTCCCTCTCTCACGAGTCACGATCATTCAATCGTTCCTCTTCTTCTAATTACGGCTAGGTTAGATTAGCTTAGGGTTAATTAGCTTTAGGCTTTATACATAAAATAGGGTTGATGGGGCTCTAGAAAAACAAAAATTGTTTTGGCCCAATCTATTAAATACTTTAAGATGCTAGCGATTATGATTTTAATTGGTAAAATTAAACACTACATGAGGTAGGTTGTAAAACAGGGGAATGTGGAAAACGTAATGTGGAAACGTAAGGTTTAGAGGTGAGACGGATTGAACATGGTGTGAAATATATATACTTCTGGAAAAGTCAATTACCTCTAAAGCCTTATTGTATTGTTTTCCAGGAGTTATCTAGTCGAGGCTACCGATCGAGGAAGCTTCAGCTGCATACAACAAAGCGGTTTGTGTATTTATCCTCTCTTTTTTAAACCCTTCTTCTTCCTGATATAAATTAACCGAGCCTGCCGAATAACTTGGTTACACGGCTCAGAGAATATCAAGGAGTGGATCCACATTTTGATACAAAATATTTTTAAGGTATATTTAAAAAAAAAAAAAATTATCAAAAGTTAAGGTATATTATCCTCTATATATTAATAGAGGAGACACTAGGTAAAAATCCTAGGTGTCATCTAAAGAGGGTTTTAAGGAGTTTTTAATGTTAAAACGTTTTTAATGACATGAACTATTATGTAAATAATTAGAAGAGTCCAACTATATTTTAGCCCAATTACCCACTAAATTTATATCACATATACAATATATAATTATTAAATGAATATGGAAACAAAGAATATATGGTAATTAATATGAAAGATTTTATTTAAAAAATATAAAGTATATGTGAGAACATCTTACTTTCTTTTCAATGACCACTAGATTTTTTGACATGTGTTAAACACGAGATTAGAATATTCAAAAATAAAAATTTATTTTTTAATATAAAAACATATATTTTTTGTTTGTTACACTAACAAATTTATTTGATTTATCGTACGCTCTATAATT